AAGAACTGTTGTTGGTGACTGACGTTTCGACAACCTGAACGGAAGTCATCTTCAGAGTCAAGTGAATCGTGTTTGTCAGTCGATGATGTTATAAGTCTGGGCCGTTGAACGTAATTGGTCAGTATAGCCATGATGGTATTGGCTGAAAGACTCGTGTAAAGTTTGTCATCAGTCATTGGTGGGTTTCGATCCGCCTGTTGTTAGGCGAATAGGTCGGTTTTTGGTCCACGTATTGTTAAGTCGGTCTGTTAGAAGTCCGTTTGTCGGTTTCGTTTCCCTCCCTCCCGTTTTTCCTCGGGGGATGGGTACGGCTACACGTAGACTATTGTTTTCGCGTCCCCGTCGATCGTTTTTCAGGTTTTTTCCTCGTTTTTAACTCGGAGGACAACGAAACCGCCAGCTACCCAGGCTTAAACTATGACATTGCGGTATTTGCGGATTGCTTTTTTTCGGGAATGCTCATAATTACCACGAAATTTAACGAACCTTGAAAACATTGAAACGAACAAAGCAGACTCATTTGTAATGCCGACAGGGCTAGATCCCGCTCAACCTCATTCCCAGGGTCCTCTCCTACTCGGTCCCTGGGGCGAGTCTCTCTTTCACCACGGTGGCCGAGTAGGAGAGGACCCTGGGAACGAGGTTGGATCCCGCTCTGGATTACCCGCGGTTTCCCGCGAGGAAATGACAAAACCCTTACTGACCAAGTTTGTTCGCTCAAGATTACTGGATGTTGACCTCCAAAATACCATCCTGTCGCCAAGATTGAAGGAATCAAGAAGTTTAATGAAAAGTTTGACTTTAAGCTTATGAGCTCTACATAAAGTGTAACGAAACGACAGCCAGAGAATATTTTACCAAGCTCTTTGACGGCCTGGACCAAAAGGAGTCTAGCAGCTATTTGTGGTTGCAGATGGGTCAGGGCTACTGGAAAAATCAAGGTCACGTCTGGAAGAATAACTTAAGGTTACCGTAAACCTTCGCGGGTGTCCTTAGCGAAAAAAAATATTACCGCGCTGTCTTAAAGACAACCACTACAAATTATATATCAATGCAAAGGTTATAGAATGCTCTATTCGATAAAAATTGTTACTGTTGCTATGGTAACCTATTGTGTCACGAAAATGATAACAACGTGTTCACCAGTGATTGGGCAGTTTTTAGGTACCATGATTGTAGCATCAAGTTATAAAGAGTGGTTATAACGACCCATCAAAATCTAAGTGTTGGAAACCGTTTAGAGCCACCTTAAGCGCGGGAGGACATGTAACCGATGTTAAGCGCGCAAAAACAGGCGACCAGTGTTAAGCGCCGAAAAATATATGACCGGCGTTAAGAGCTGAAAAATATGTGACCGCTGAAAACGCAGAAAACAGGTATTCGTTGTAAGCGCGAGAAAGCATATATTCGCCTATTTGGTGGTCAGAGCGGGAAAACATGTGACCAGTTCTAATCGCATTTGGTCTTGAAGCTTACTGGTTGAAGGGATAGCATCCTTAAGTTTGCGGGAACTCTATCAACTGCTTTAAGAACAACAACCCGATAGTTGATTTCTAACTTGCAAATCACAGAAGAGGCTAAAGCTCGAAGAAAAAGCCAGCAAGGATAATGGGGGCTAAATTACTCAACTGGTGAAAGCATGAAGAACAAACCTACCTCGATATCTTTAGCGGATTGTTCAGTAACAAACATCTCCGTGGTTGACTGCCGGAAAAAAAAACAAAAAACAGAAAAAAAGTTTGCAAAAGATATAAATAAAGGCTTATGAAGTCAAAGCTTAGGTTGGTTGGGGAAAATCAAAGATATTTCTTTAGAGTTTCTGGCATCAGATTAGGACACTTTTTGAATGAATCAGTTCTTTCCCTATCATTAATATCAAATTACGCATCTGTCATTTGTATTCAAGAGCATCTACGAAAACGAACTGCGCGCGCAACACACCGACATGTTGCTAAGGATAGCGCGAGCCCACGAAGTCAGAAACGCCTTTGAGCAGGAGGGCTGCACGAGGGCTGCAGATGTATCAATTTCGCTCACTTTGGCAAGGGTACATGTACTTAGCAAGAAGGTCGTTGACTCAACTAACCAGACCTATCAATGTCAAAGAGGAAGATAATTTGCAATCGTTAGCCTAAAGTTCTCCAGACAGCAACCCGTCTCCCTAAATCCTCGCTGTCGTTAGCCATTTTCATCTCCTAATGGAAACCCGTCAATTGTCGAGTAGTATCTACACAATATCAAACTACTATTGATAGCGTTTCTCACAGTCTACTGATATTAGTAACTATGTTGCAAACTTCTCAGAATCAGGCGAAAAATCGCAGAAGCTTGAATCCATACTACGCTTTCATGGTTTCGTCACAGAGGTCGCAATTTCAGAACTATTAAACTGGAAAAAGGCATGGAATTGTAATCATAAACCCAACCTGCTCTATCTCAACGATTTTAAAAATTGCGGCTCGTCGACCCGCCATTTTGAAAACCGAAGAAGACCCTGGGGACGAGGTTGTCTTGAACCTAGTTCTACTGCTGAATGAGAAGTTAAAGCAATGACGTCATGTAACCTTGATGAGTCGAGAAAGCAAGAATCCTCCTTCGTAACGATTGTACAGTTCGTCCCAGTTGTCTTGAACGAATTTCCAGGCCATGTCACGGCCTTTCACACTGAAAGAACGAAAAAGAATAATTCCCATTTTAACAAAAAAGACTATAGTATACGGTTGAAATACAGTTGAACCTCTCGACCATGGATACCAAACTTAACCGGCCGTTGTAAAGAGGAGACCGTTTTAGGAAGGTTTGAATGAGAGTTCAGCGTGACACAAAATGTTACACAATGTGTAGAACTACGTTTGCAAGGCGTGACGCGAACCAAAAAGCAACAAAATTTCATTGACACCATTGCATTAATTCAAAAAAAAGAAAGAAAGAAAGAAAGAAAGAAAGAAAAAGAAAAAAAAATAGTGATACGTTCGTCTTTATCGCCTGCGACACCATCCCTTGAAGGTAATTAAAACAGTTTGCAACTATAGCCAAAGAGGAGAAGCCACTGACCTGCCAGTGACGCCCGCAATCACAAACACGGTATCCTGGGAACGAACTTCTTCCTAAAAAAAAAACCAGACAGTATTGCTCTATTAATACCTGACCAACTACTTTGTGGTAGACATCACTTAACTACATGCCCGTCTAATACAAAAAGTATTTAAACGGTTTCTGCGCCAAGAACGTGACTAGGACATGGTTGCCACAGATATCACTTTCTAAAATTCCCTGACTTTTCCCTGACGTTTCCCTGATAAAAATAGCATTTTCCTGACCCAAAAATACAAAATATCAGGTCTAGTAGCGGCTTCTGGCATGAACTTACAGCCATCCTTCCTGCTCATTCATTAAGACGGATAAGTTTCCAAAACATTTTTCTAATTCATTAAGGAAAAATATCGCTGAGATCACAGTAACCCCAAATGTTTCTTCCAGCCTTCAATGATATTAAATTAGCCGCGTTAAATTATTTCAATTTTCCCCGACTTTTCTTCAAAATGTCAATTTTCCCTGACTCAAAATAGAATTCCCTGTCGTTTCCTTGACCTTAAAGAATTTTTTCACTGACCATTTCCTGACCAGTGGCAACCATGTTGGAGTATTGCTCCCACCCCGCACCCCTCCCAACACCCCCATCCTTAAACGGGACGCTAATCCATTGAATACAATCTCCAACAGTATTAAAAGACAAATTAAAAAAATAATCAAAAAAATTAAAAAAAGATAAAGTTAAACCGAGCAAAACTTACCGATATGGAGAAATCTAACACCTTCTTGATCAGTTCAGGTTGTGACACCGCCCCCATACATCTCATCAATCGCACTTTCTCTTCGTGTAAATCAGCTTCTCTAAACAGCTTCAACATGGCGTCTAAGCTAACGTCATCGCCATGTTTAAGAACTGTGCTGTACACCGCTGACCTCAAGTCCGCTGGGATGGTGGACTCACCTGCGCAGTGAGCCTGAAATCGTTTACGTGCCTCAGCGAGAGTAGCTGGGTGGCCATATTTGCCTAAACGGCCGATTATCAGACCTCGTAGAAGGGCGTCAAGATGTCCTGAATGAAATAAACAGTATTATAGACTAGTTGAGAAGAAAATACTGCTTAGCATCTTCCATTTAAATGGTCACACATTAGGATTTCCTCTACGATCGCAAAAAGTTACAAACACACACATGATGATTACTATTTCTACGCTGGCGAAACCATCCTGTGCGGTATAAAAGCTCTTTTTGAATGGTCAAACATTAGGGCTTCATCCGTAGATGTTAAGGTAATAACCAGCTTGTGCAGCATAATAAACAGCACCACATGGAAGTACTGCTCAATAGCTTTCATTTGAATGGTCACACACTAAGGTTTTATCCACAGACTTAAAAGTTATAACTTCCTTGTACAACATAATAACCAGTGCCACATGAAAGTATTGCTCAATAGCTTTCACTTGAATGGTCACACACTACGGTTTCATCTACAGACGTAATAGTTAGAACCGCCTTGTACAGCACAATAAACAGTGCCACATGAATGTACCGTTCAATAGCTTTCATCTGAATGGTCACATACTATGGTCATCGACAGACTTTTTCGATAGCCACTCATTAACAAAGGAATGTTATTCTACCTTCTCCTTCTACAGGATCCCAGCCAAGCTTGTTGCCGATTGGTTCGTACAGCTTGATGCCGAAGGCCTGGAAGCTAGAGTAACAGTCAGAGTACTGTAGAATTGCCCCCACACCACCCATGTTAGAAATCAAGTCATTCCATACTGTGTAATTTGTCTCGTTGCTGAATGCCTCCACCACTTTAAGAACATCAGGACCTGACACTAAGCCAGCCCGGCACTGCAATGAAAACAGAACATACAAAGAAAGAAGTGTAACCTCAACTTGCACCTCAATATCTTTTTCACGTACAAACAATTTTAACTGAAAACAAGAACACTGGGAATAGCCATCGTGTACATGTCTGTAAAGACCAAGGTCAAACTAACTAATTTAATGTCCAAGCCTTAAGTTTGACGCACAAACTACTGCATTCATAACAATGAATACGTAATATGTGCGAAGCACATTTTTACGATAACTGCAGAAATTCTCGTGCGCTCATTGGCTAATTTTCATTGTCAATAAGGGGACAGACACACGAATATTTAATTTAAGAGGTGCGTCAACAAGAGAGAGCGGACAACTTGACAATTTGTTACTGCATAAAACAAATTAACGTCAGTTTTTCAAGTGTCTGTCCAGCTATTGACAATGAATTTCGTCATAAAATTGTCAAAGAAGTCTGCGGATCAGCTACCTTGACAATGTTATGACAAAATTCATTGTCAATAACACGACAGACGCATGAAAAACTGACGTCAATTTGTTAAACAGAAAATAATCATGACGAATTTTTACTACCAATATGAAACACCATCTCAAATAAAAGGAAATAGGTTTATTTTATATCGAGAGAGAAGCTACCTACATGTTATAAGTGGGCTGTGTGTTACCTATTAGAGCACTTGCCCGGGGGTTGGGGGGGGAGCGGGGTGGGGTGGACTCCTATAAGAAAAGGGCGGGGATGCTTTTCCTCTCTCTTAGAGGTGTAAATAAACGATTGTAGTCTCGCTTAGTATATTCAGGACGAAATGTCACTATTTTCAGCCGTCAAAGTACATGTATCTTTCAGGGTGCACTTGAAGAAGTAACAAAAACATTCCCGTTTAAAGGGGATCTTTTGGGGGTCAAATACAGCAAGAGCCACACCCAGATTATCTCCTAAAGGGTTTAAATCAAGTTTTCCGACGAACATCCCAGATCTATTTGGCTCGCAAGGACAACATGATAACCATCGGTTTTCACGTCACCTGTCCCAGATATCACTGACAATATTTCCAAATTATCAAGCCTGACTGAGGGATTTCTGTACATACCAGAGCAATGAGGTCACTCTGTAGTCCCAGTCTGTCTCTTGGAGGAAGACTG